TAGATATATATATATAGTCATATATATATAGATATATATATATAGTCATATATATATAGATATATATATAGTCATATATATATGACGTACAGTCATATATAAAATCGATGTTCGATTCTTTTTCTGTATAATAAATGTTATTTCACTCATTCTTTAGCCAACTGAGAATAGTGACCTTCCTTCTCCTTGTTCATCTGACATCTACATATTAACATTACACGAGAGCACAGCTTCTCCCAGTCAGAGTTCTTGTTTCAACAGAGGATAAATGTCATTAAGCCCTCGGGCAATCTTCCCTCAGAGTGTCTTAGCTGCTCTGAAGTGTAAAACTGCTCCTATTGCAGAGGAAAAAAGAAGAGCATCGCTATTACACACAGCATAAGCATCTGAGCCCCACTGGGGCATCCATGTACATTTTAAAGCAATCCATTTGTGCCCTCAATTCAAGTGACATCTTCTGTGCATAATTGACTGCTTTCAGAGACATGAAAATGACTATGCAACTGGTGCTTAAATGATCAGCTTCTCTCTCTTTTTTTTTTGCTTTAGTTTTAGCTGGACTAAGGATGGACTGCCGTTTGATCCAAGCAGTAAAACAGAGCTTGAAGTTAAGAAAAATCCGTACTCGTTTGTTTTCCAAGCACTTCCAAGTAATACTAGGGACCCGCCAAAGTCATACGAAGGCAAATACGTCTGCTTTGCTAACAATGAGCTTGGTACTGCAGTGTCAAAGGAAGCAATACTTCGAACCGATGGTAAGAGATGTATTTATCTTGAGTGATTGATAGCTTGTTTAATGTAAAATGCTCAAACCTGGCATCTGTTGACAAAAGTTCCTTCAGATCAGTGTTGATAATGTTGAAATTTAAGTTATTATCTTTGTTGTTATGTGCTTAAAAGAACAAGTCAGGGATTAGTCTTAGACACTGGATTTATATAATTGACTTACAAAAGGGGCTACACGGTGGCACAGATTGTAGCACCGTTGCCTTGCAGCAAGAAAATTTTAGGTTTGATTCCCGGCCTGGAGTCTTTCTGCAGGAGTTTGCGTGTTCTCCCAGTGCATGCCTGGATTCTCCCAGGGTGCTCTGTCTTGTTCCCAAAGTCCAAAAACATGAGCTGTTGGGTTAAAAAAACTAGATCTTTACTACAAGTGGCATAAAGATGCTGTCACTATTATGCTTGGGGAACTAAGAGGATGCTGAGTAAGGATAGGTAAAATAAACAAATACTTCATTTTAAATTAGCTCTCTTCTGTAACCTACACTTAATCAATTTGACTCTCTAAAAATAAAAGTAGCTCACTCCTGAGCTGCATCACAATTACATGATTATCATACAATTTCAGCATGATAATCATACACACATGCAGACAAACCCTGAGCCAACATCCATCCACCTGCCTGGCTGGCTCTCTCCTGGGCAACCTCCTTCCTTCACAGTTTCCCTGACAACGGTTTCCTGAGAAACACTTGAGTTGATGTCATGTGATGCTCTTTTCAATGGCTCCTGAGGGGTTATCAACACTGAGCGGAAAGCAGGGGGAGATTGAGAGCACACACTGAAGACTCACATATTCAACCATTCTACATCTTAAAAGTGTGAAAAAAGGGGATTTTGTAATAGAAACCCAGAAATAAGGCTCCTCATCAGTGTGGGTTTTAGATGACATGTGTTGAGGACTGCCTCAGGAAATATTCTATACGGGTTGCTGTTTGTTTACCACCTGTTTCTACGCAAATTCACCTTTGCGTGTTTGTTCCTTGTTTACCTCTGTGCAGTCCCCCCTACCCTGCAGAGGGAGAATAGAGTTTCTGTGAAGTCAGATGAGGGAAGCAGCATCGTGCTGAAGTGTAACCCCCCTCAGAGCTCCATGGAGCCCAACATTCATTGGATGGATCAGAGTGAGTTCATTATCTCCACTTCTATTACATGCGCCTCTTACTGTGTATGCTCTTCCTTTTGTGCTTCACTTTGATCATATCTGAGAAAAAAGAGGAATGTATTTCAAAAAGCATTTCTAAATGAATTTTAGATATGTTGCAAAACTAGAGGGATAAGTTCTTAACTGCACTTTGTTATTCATCTTTTGCTTATTTTTTCATCGAACTTTTACAGAACAATCCTTTTAAGTACACCGCCTCAGTTTTTAAGAATATTCAATACTGAATGGTTGGAATAAACTGAGATAGAAATATTTTCTCTGTTTAGCTCTTTAAAACTGTATTTTCTCTATTAAGATTTGCGCCATATTCAGCTGAGTAAGCGGATGGTGGTTGGATTGGATGGCAACCTGTACTTTGCCCATTTGACAATGGATGACAGTCGGGATGACTACACCTGCAATGTCCAATACCTGGCAACACGCATCATTCTGATAAAGGAGCCCATCACTCTGAAAGTCAACCCATGTGAGTACTAGCCTAGAGAATGACATCAGATGTGGATGCGAACCGAACCAAAGCAGAAGCAGAAGCATGTCTTGAAGTGTACGATGCATTATTAAAGAGATCCAACCAACAAGACCACAAGCTTTAAACATACCACAAGATCATCTTTGAGTGAATTCAAATGTAGAAATGTTTTTTATGAATGACAAAACTTTAAGAAAAAAAATATTTTTTTTCAGACGTACAAAAAAAAAAAGCAGTCCCAAAAAAAAAAAAAAAAAAAAAAAAAAAAAAAAAAAAAGGTAAATGATTAAGACACAAAAATGCATTAATGAGATGCATCTTTTTGGGTGGATTTGCAGGTATGCCCTTTTTCAGCATCTCAGTCAGATCCTGTTTTTAATAACGCTTTATTCTCAGCCAAACAGTTACTAAAGTTTTGCTATCTTATTTTAACTTTTATTAGGCTTCCTCACAGGTGGTTACTTAGCAGACCTGATACCTGTAGTTTACTGGTGGTAAAACAGCAATGGTGCAGAATAGTCCCACCCTAAAATGTTATGTTCACAAACATCCGCTTGCTGGTTGATGTGTTTACTCGCTAATTGGGCTGTCTGCTACGGCTAAACTGTGTTGTTTTAGTTAGAATAGAATAGAATAGAATAGAATAGAATAGAATAGAATAGAATAGAATAGAATAGAATAGAATAGAATAGAAAATCCCTTTATTGTTCCAAAATGGGGAAATTCTGGTGTTTACAGTAGCAAAAAGATTATAGAAAAAAATGGTCACACAATGTGGAGCTTAGGAAAATTTATAAGAATAACATAATAGTGAAGAGTTAAAAGATAAACAATAAAATACTGTACTGTACAGTGTTTTAACAACATAAAAAAAACTGTGCACCTGGAGAATAAATAATCAATATATGGCTATGTACATTTTTACAGTAATGTATATTTGAAAATAACAGCAACATTAGGGATGTGCAAAATGAGCATGAATGTAACAACTTATTGAGGTTGTTGGGAACAGTTTTCCTACACATTGAGTTGTTGACTTTGCTGCTTATTGCAATGGTTTCCCATATTTCATGCGCTGATGGTCTTTAGGTAAACCCTCTAGTCCTATATTTGTGTATTTCTAAATACGTATCCAATAAAAACATTAAAATAAAGTTTTGCTTTTGTGTTTGGTGGGATGCACCCCTTACCAAAAGCTCTACTAATTCTCCTGCGCAACCTGTGGTCAGCAGGGAACTTCTTTGCCCAGTTCTAATAACATGCGGCTTACTCTGAGGGGCCACTGCAGACATATGTGACTTGACTAGAGGTCAGAGAGATGAACATGTGTTAACATGGACCCCAGTGTTTAAGATTACATCTGTTGTTATTGAGGTAAACTTTTCCCAGCAATCTCTGAAGCCTACTTCTGGCTGCAAGGGCGTAGAAGCACAGCCTAAGAGGCTGCTGTGTCAGCAGCACAGCTATCTGCAAATTGGCCATCCATATGCATGAGCTTTTCTCTTTATCTAAATGCATTTTCGTTTCTCTTTGTCCAGCCAATTCGGTAGTGCGGAACCGGAGACCACACATGATGAGGCCTACTGAAGGCGAAAGCACGTACCACGCCCTTAGGGGCCAGACTATAAAACTCGAGTGCATTGCTCAAGGCCTGTAAGTATGTTCATATACGCGTGCCAACCTATGCACCTATGCACGTTTTAAAGAGGAAAATAAAAGCCGCCCTTTTAAATCAATCACTACTGCCCCTAAGTTCTTTTTCCATCCCACTATGGACTCCATTTGCTCTAGCCTCATTGCCAATTCCTTCCCTTTTACTTAGCTCCTTCCCTTCCTATTTGCAAACTCCTCCATTTCTCTTTCCTTTGGACCAAATCTGCTTTTTTTTTTACATATGCAATTTTACAGTGTGTACTTAACTTTGGCTGTTTTTACTCTTCTCCTTTTAAGTCCAACTCCTGAAATAACATGGCTGAAGAAGGAAGGGGAACTTGATGAATCTCGGACAACCAAATCAATGTTTGACCGACACTTGACAATCAAAAACATCTCTGAAAGTGACAGTGGAGAGTACCAGTGCATAGCCAAGAACACCCAAGGAAATGCCAAACACACCTATCATCTGAAAGTAGAAGGTGTGTTTCACTCTATCCTTTACAGAAACAAAGAACACTTGAGAGCCTGCAGAGCCAAATTATTATTCTTTGCCGCTTTGCTTTGATATTGTTAGGTGGAAGGTGTATCTCAATAAACTCAAACTAACAGAAAACTTTTTTTTTTTTTTTGTGATGCAATTTAAAAATGAAACAGATTCATTACACAGTCTGTCAAATGTGTAAATATGACTACAGAATTAGAATACAGGTTTTTTTTTTATTACCCAAAATCCCAATCATCATAGAAGTGAATGTAAGATATAGGATTCCATCAGATTAAACTGGTAATATAAACTGGTCTACAGGACATTTATTGATTCCATGCATCCATCCATCAGTCCACCTGTTTATTGTATTTATCCATTCATCAATCCATCCATACATCCATGCACCAACACCTAACTAAATTTTTATGTGACAAAAAAATCTCTAAGCAGGGAAATTATTTGATATATTGGGACTTTACTTTGTAAAATGCATTGTTTTATCTTTTACAGCTAAGCCATATTGGAAAGAGATTCCAGAGAGTCTGATCTATGCCCCAGGTGAGACTGTAAGACTAAACTGTGCAGCCGATGGCACCCCCACTCCTACTATCAGCTGGACAAAGAATGGGGAGAAAATCTCAGGTCAGAGCATCTACCATTGTAAACCAATTAGCAGTAAAGATCCTTCTACTTTTTAGAAATACTAAGATGTGTAAAACCTTAACAGGAAGCAACTCTGGAAATGCAGTAATAGCAGAAAATGGTTCCCTGATCCTAAACCGTGTCAACTCTGGAGACACTGCTGTCTATCAGTGCCAGGCCTCCAACAAACATGGCACCATCCTCACCAATACCCATGTATATGTCATCGGTGAGTATTTAGCCTTACTTTTTGTCACTTCATCTGTATTTTCAGTGTGTGCGTCTTTGTGCTTGCCACACATGCAAAAATAAAATGCAGTAGTTGAGAACTGACTTACCACTGCAACTGTTAAGTTTTCACTTTTTATCATCACAATAAAAGTTTTTAAATCACTAAACAATTTTTGTATTTGACATATCTAACTAAATTATACCCATTTAAAAAACAAGAAATGTGTTTCATTAGGTTGTTAAGGGGGAAAAAAAGCAAACAATCCAAAATAATTAACTATGTGTTTTATTCTAATAGGGTTTATTCATGAGCTCTTAGTACTATAGAAAATAAAGTAACAAAATGAAGTAAATCATAAGTGACCCTAAATAATGATAAAAACAACATACAGAAAAATAGTAAAAAAAGTAATAAATGAGATTGACAGAATACTAAAATTTGAAATAAGAAGTATTACTGATATAAAGAGTTAACATTGGGCTTAAAAGCTTAACCATATATTTCAACAAATAAACTGACACACAATTGCTTTATTTGAAAACATGTTTATTTATGTACCTTTATAATTTGGCAAGTTTCTGTGTTTTCCTTCAGAAATCCCTCCGCAGATTGTTACAGAGGACAGGAAACTGTACTCTGTTACTGAAGGCCAAATTGTTTCCCTGGACTGTGAGACCTTTGGCTCTCCTAAACCCACAGTCACATGGTAAGGCAAATTCCTACTGATTTATTTCAACTTATTAGTGGGTTTTTATATCTCATTTCCACAAAGTTGATGCTATTGCTTAGGCAGCTCTTCATATGCATAAATTAACAGCCTAATGTTGTTACATCTGGGCTGTGACTGTGAAATCTGTTATCCAGGCACATATCCAACCTGGCTTTGTTTTTTATGTAAAACAGGCAAAGTGGTGTATAAACTGGCGAATTAGAGAAGCTGAAAGGCCTAATTTTGTACTCAGCTTGGCAGTTTTCTGATGTGTTCAGGGAAAGAGGGGAACAGTACCTTCTTGCTGATCCCAGAGTTAACCGGCTCACCAATGGGGGGCTACAGATCTTTAATGTCAGCCACGACGATGAAGGTTCCTACACCTGCTCAGTTCAAAATGCCAACGTGTCAATCACAGCTGAACTGGAGGTGTTCAGTAAGTCAGACACACATTTACACAGCCACACACAGTCATCTCTCTGTTTTTCATGTCATTTCAACATCCTGCAGCTTGACTGGGCTTAATTTCTCTATTTCCTCACTTTCACTTCTAGACAGGACAGTGATCCTCACACCACCCAAGGACCTGAAGGTACAGCCAGGGACCAAAGCGATCTTCACATGTGTGGGCCTTTATGATACCAATCTGAGGCTTCCTCAAATTCAGTGGCGAAAGAACAACCAGAAGCTGATGGAATCCTTCAGTGATGAAAAGTGAGACTGGAAATCTACTTTTTAGAGATCTTGGCTAATGTCAACTAGGATTTGTCAACAAGACTAATAAAGAATCAAGAACTGTTTTCATCTTCAAAATCACAACTCTTCTTAACCTCTGCTACTGATGCAATGGAAATAGTTTAGAAGAGATGCCTCACAGAAACTTTTATTAGGGTGCAATTTTACTTTACTTTAGTTAGTAACAGCCATGAACTATGATTACTGATTGGGATTTGTGTGACCAAAGCAGATTAGTGTGTATGTAGAAAGAGAAAAGAATACCCATAAATAGCACAGTACAGGGCAATCTATTATATGAAAGTGAAAATAATATGTATAACACATCTGCAACATCTCAAAGGCACCTAAAGTGGCTCTGGGTAAAAATAATATTGCATCCTTAATTTACTTAAGGTGGTCATCCTCAGTGGGAAATTTGGTAATGGTAATATCATTCTTTGGGATTCTTCTTCAGCAGAAACAACCACTGGTGAGATGAGCTAAATATAAGGTTATTTTATAGAAAAGAAAGTTAGTGGCTGTAAAAGACTTCAGATTAGGAGGGTTTACCTTCCAGCAGAAGAAAAACCCTAACCATAGTTAGAGTTAAAGCACAATGCTTTGAATTTAATTCAGAATCTGTGACAAGACTTGAAAATGTATATTAATAGAATTGCTCTGTCCCACCTGACTGAGCTGGAGCTATTTTAAAAATAAACAGTGGTCAAGGATTTCAGTTATTAGCAGAGTGCACAACTTTAGCTGCAGCCAAAAGGGGTTCTAAAGAGCATTTTCTCAGGGTTGGCTGTAGGGAGGTTTTTGGTTTGTTTTGTTAAGATGCTACGTTCTGTTTGTTTGTTACATGAAAATCCTAATAAAACCTTAAGATAGTTAAGATCATATGAATATGTCCGACAATACACCTTAAGATGTCATGATAATCTGTCAATTTTTAGGGGATATGGAGATAAGAATAACAATAATGGCTACATTTTGCCAGATACACATTTGATGGTGCAGACTTGATAATCGCTAACGTGGAACCAGATGATGAGGGCATTTATACCTGCCAGATCATCTCCTCCCTGGACCAGGCTGAAGCCAGCGCTACTCTGACTATATGTGGTGAGATCACAAAGCAGCAAGTTTGAAATCATACACAGACATAGGCCTACAAATAATAGATGTGCCCATATGTTAAGTTTAAATAAATTGATTTTATAGACAGGCAAACTTATAATAACATTACTGCTTTTTTTCTACAGACCGTCCAGACCCTCCAGGCCTCCTCCAGATCTCTGATCCCAAGCATCGTGCAGTCTCTCTCAGCTGGACTCCTGGAGACGACCACAAGAGCGCTGTTTTAGGTATAGTACCAACATAAAACATCAGCACTGTTTTCTGTCTTTCTTTCAGATAGGAATTCCTTTTGAGATCCAGTCCATGTGGGCAGCACTTTAAGCTTAATCTTTATCTTACAATATCCTGAATCTATTCGTAGGTCATCTTTCTACCAAGACTTCAGCCATTGTTTTAATGACTTGTCTCTGGAGGGCTTAGAAAACTGATGGAAAGTTTGCTTGTTTAGCCTGCTCAGATTCTCCAATTATTAAGAGTTTGCCCTGAAAGGCTGTATCTCCACAGAGTATGTAATTGAGTTTGAAGACCAAGATTTAAAGGAGAGGGGCTGGGAAGAGCTGAAGAGAGTAGGAGGCAACCAGGAGCATGCCGTCCTCTCCCTCTGGCCGTACATGTCCTACCGTTTTCGGGTCACAGCCATTAATGAAGTAGGGAAAAGTGACCCTAGCAAGCCCTCTGAAATCCACAGCACACCAGCTGAAGGTGAGAAAAAACAAACTGTGAAAAAAAAAAGGTTTGGATTAAATTAAATATAAACTCCAGCTAATTATTGTTTTTAACCTCAACACAGCTCCGGAGAATAACCCAGAAGATGTCAGGAGCGACTCTATAGACCCAGACACCCTCCTCATCACCTGGGAGGTACATCTAATACCTGAGAGTGCTAACACTTAAAAAGCATTATCAAACAAGGTTTTGTTTCTGTTTTCATTGCCTTCTATTTTCTTTATTGTAGAAAATGGACAAACGTAACTTCAATGGACCTGATTTCAAGTACAAGGTACAGTGGAGGCGTGTACTGGGCAGCGGACCAAAGTGGCAGGAGAGAGAGACAACCGAGCCTCCAGTCATCGTTCCTGACGTTGGCAATTTTTCCGCTTTTGAGATAAAAGTTCAGGCCATTAATGCGAATGGTGATGGACCGGAGCCAGACCCTGTTATTGGCTACTCAGGGGAGGATGGTAAATTGATCAAAAGACACAACTCACTTAGAGTGCTCTGAAAAGGTCTTCATATTCCTTGAATATATTTGAATATTTCTTATGACGAACAGTAATGCTTATCTTGCAATGTTTTCCTTTCCACTTTCTCATAGTTCCCCTGGAAGCTCCAATGGATGTGGGAGTCGCAGTACTTAACAGCACTACGATCAGAGTGACCTGGGCAGCTATAGACAGAAACACAGTCAGAGGACACCTGCTGGGATATAAGGTGCTTCTACATCTTCTTCTGGGTTCCTAAATTTTTTATCCCCACTTAAAATCAGCATAAATCTTCCTCATTCAGTGCTTTTCAAAATACTTTCTCTGAAAATAACCCATTCCTTGAATCTCTCTGATTAATTTTGTGGCACCAGGTACACCTCACCAGAAAGGGCTCCAGGGGTCACCACCGTGGCCGGAGATCCAGGGAGGCTGAGAGCACTGTGGTAGAGGAGACTGGTCCTAATGAAGAAACAAAGCTGATCAGTAAACTTAGACCATACTCCCGCTACCTCCTGTCCGTCGCCGTTTTCAACAAAAGGGGGGAAGGACCCCACTCTGAGCCGCTGCCCTTCAACACTGAGGAGGGAGGTGAGCATAAGAGACAGTGGGTGGAGAGGGGATGGGCAACAAAGCTGTATTTAGAAGCAGATATGTGGCCTTAAAAAATATATATATAAAATAAATTAATCCTTTTAAAAAAGCACTTTGCAATCATGTGTCCTTCTGTGGCTGCCAGTACCCAGTCCTCCCACATCCCTGCTCCTTGACAGCCCATCAGAAACAGAAATGGCCCTTCACTGGATGCCTCCGGCCCACCCAAATGGTATACTGACAGGATACCTGCTGCAGTACCAGCGAAGTAAGCATATGTTATATTGCATCTGTTACAACCATGAACTCTTCTGTCCATAAAATGAAACATGCACAACTGCACAGTTCAAGATAAATCAATGAAACCCTTAAAATGCCACGACATCTTAAGCATGTGGGTCAATCAGCCCTTTGTCACCGGTAATGAATAGTTTTGGAATCTGCTTCGATCAGTTACAGAGAGCGATGACAGCCCCTTACAGAAGGATGAGATAGACAACCCCACAGCCACCCACTATACCCTGAAAGGTCTGGACCGACACAGCCAGTATCGCTTCTTTCTGAGGGGGCTCACTAAAGCTGGGAAGGGAGAGCCCATCATTATGACGGGCGCCACCACACTAGATGGAGGTAACACTCTACTTCCTGTTATTGCAATTACATGTTTATTACAGTAAATTTAGTCGACTTGTGTCAGTAATTTGATTCAAAAATTGAAACTCATATATCAGGATACAACAAAGAAACTTTAGAGGATTGCAGAGAAAAGACCATTGAAAAGTTTGGGATGGATTCACCAGATGTTTTCCTGGACTCAGAAATCAAAGAACAACCACACACAGAGATACTTGATGCATATCCTTTAATGCTTTTGTCTGCTGAGAGATTTTTGAGAGCCGGATTTAATTGTAGAAGAGAACTTAGATCTTACCAGCGGTGCTAAAGTGTATGTGAATGATTGGCCAGCCAGCATGCCTGACTCAAACCCCACAGAAAATCTATGAAGTATGGAGAAGATGAGGGACTCTAGACCAAACAATGAAGACAACCTAATGGTCGCTAATATAGCAACCTAGACTTCTTTGACTGATGTACTAATTCATGCGAAAGGAAACCTGACCAAGTATTGAGTACTTAAACTCTAGAGCACATTGAAAAGCTTTTCACTTGATCAAATATACATAGTGACAAACATTTTATTGATGCAAGGATCAACAAATATAAAAGGAAGACAGGCTAGTTTTGAAATCAAATTACTCATTTATTATAAATTACATGCATGTAATCTATAATTCTAATACTAATCCTAATTTATCTTTTTCTGCAGTGCCTCCCTCGGATATAAGCCTATCTGTGGGAGAAAACTCTGTAAATGTGAGCTGGGAAGCCAAGAGGAGACACAGAAATGTGGGTTTCTACATCCACTACCTCAAAAAGAATGGTATGAAATAAACACACCTAACTTTACAACAATCAGGTCTTCATGTTCGGATCTTGAACAGCTACTTAGGCTCATGTTGTGCCTGTACAGGTGGTGTAAACTGGAAAAAGTCGGAGAAGGTGAACTCTTCTCAGACTTTTTACCAGCTTCGGGGCCTGAATCCTGGCTCTGATTATCTTCTGCGCTTCTTCTATGGAAACGCATCATTCTGGGAGACTGACATTAAGACAGAGGGAACAGGTAGAGCCTTGCCTTCATTCAACTTCTCCTCTTTCATCTCCCAGCTTCACTCCTCTGGGCCTTACCACACTATAGATAAGACTGCCTCTATAAGCACCTTGCTGTTCTTTCAGTCTGCAAAGTGGTTTTAAAGACTTTTGTCAGAGGAGACTTGGTTAGCCGTTTACATTGATCCAATAATGTTTGTTTGGTGGGTGCCATGTTTCCCTGGTAAAATGCAACCTTGTTAGCATGCATAATGCTCCTTCTCGTGCGCACCAGATTCTGCTCCTTCGTTAATCATGCGTCTTTCTTGATTCCTTTTCTTCTTGACTTATTTGGTTTTGTAAAGAGAAATAAAAAACTTCTGTCTTGTTTTTCTCCCTCTTAATGTGTTTTCTTTAACTAGAAATGACAGAGGTGCAGGCGAGCATTGCAACGCAGGGCTGGTTTATTGGTGTTGTGAGTGCCCTTGTGTTGCTGTTGTTAATACTACTCATCCTCTGCTTCATCAAGAGGAGTAAAGGAGGGAAATACTCAGGCAAGTATAGCTTTAGACCATGTTGAACTGAAAAAGATGCTTGTAAATAACCCGATGATGATTGGAACATTTTTTCTCATCGAAATTCTCAACGGGATATTTATTAAAAGAGTGGGATATTTCAATTTAAGAATACAACCTCCAAACATTTTTTTTGTAGCTTCATATAACAATATTATATAAAATATTTGGACTCTGAATAGAAATGTCAAAAATGGTGGGTGTTGTATCATAGAGAACCCAATAAAGGATCTAAGTTAAATGTTCATATAAAAGTTTCTGAAGATGATCCCAATCTTTGTTCTTTGAACACTTACTCAAAGCTATCTTGCACGTTTGACAGAATGCTGCTATTGATGTCTAAAACAGAATCTTGACATAATTCATTATAATTGTAATGAAAATAAAATCGAATGATCTGTCTCTTCCTCAGTGAAAGATAAAGAGGATGGTCCAATGGACTCAGAAGCAAGACCGATGAAAGAGGAAACATTTGGAGAGTACAGGTTTGTCATGTGAATTTCTCTTTGGGTTTTGCGGAATGTCAGATCACAGTCCTGAATCCCCTGCCTTGTTCTGTTTTGCTAACCCCCTTTGTTCATTCCTTTGTTCCTTTATTCCCTCTATTGCCTGCCTCTGCTTTGCAGATCTCTGGAAAGGTATGGAGTTTTGTTTCACCTACCTAATTTTTATCCCTTGTTGCTTTCTAAGTTGTCTTCTTTGTGTACTTGTTTGGAAGGGAAATCTTAGAAATTAAGACTTAATAGAGGTTAATAATTTAGGGGTATGAAGTGAAGCATCGATTTCTTTTATGGTTTTGTAAGGTTACCATTCTATGAAATCTTTCAGTGTTACTGATTGTCTTTCTTCACCAATGTTGTTTCATGCTTTTAGTGAATTTCTTTGTTTTATGTTGTCTTTGCATTAGTGATCTTGAAGAGAAGCAAACCGCCAGCCAGCCGTCTTTGTGTGAGGACAACAAGATGTGCAGCGAGGACACCCTGAACTTTGGCAGCAGTGCTCTCACCACAGAGCTCAACCTGGATGAATCTTTGGCTAGCCAGATCAGTCGTCCGAGTGAAGGTCCAGAAGGATTCCGTGGCGTGCCGGACAACTCCCCACTGAATCCCACTACCATGGCCCCAACCACTAATGGCATGCCCAATTCAATCACCATCCTTGATTAACTCCCACCAGAGACCATCAGACCAAAATGTCAACACGTATGTGCCCATACTGTCCTGTTCCCCTTCTGACTTGCTGATGTTTATTTTAAGGTCCAGTGCACAATCATATACAGACTTTTTATATGCCCTCTGGCAGTCATCCGAATGATTAGACATTTGTGACCAAAGGAGAGTCCAAAGTAGTGGACCATGTGACACCAATCGTTCCATCCAACTTTTTTGAATAGCTTACAGTTAATTCAAACAGCTTTTGTTTATTCGAACCCTTTTCCTCTTTTTACTTTAAACAACAGAAACATATAGACAGAATGTTGCATATCATGAAATATCAGGGGTTCGAGGTGTGGTCACATAGAGATGCAGAAAAGTGCATTAAGTAAATGTGGAGGATAATGATGGAGCACAGCGTGGGGAAACAGACAGCATACAGTACCTTGTAAAAATATTTACAACCCTTGAATTTTAAAATCCATCCTGTTTTAACTACAAACATGTATTGTAAACAAACATTTTGTACAGAACAATATGTTCATCACATAATTATGGAGGGAAAGGACTTTTTGTATACAAATCAGAAAAGCATGACTTGCATATCAACAGGCTATATGCCTAACTTCACTAGTTCCTAAACTTTCATCACTGGACATGCTACCTCGGTAACTATGACGCAGCTGGATTGATCAGTATGTCTAGTAATAAAAGACATGGAACAAAGGAGCTGGTCAAAGTTCAGAAAATAGTGAAGCTGGGTATATTTCCCATTAAGCCCTCATATAAAAATACTTTAAATAACCATCGCTGGCAACTACGGCTACAAGTTATTTGGGACTTTGTCAATTTTTAATAATTCTTTTTTAGTAAAATACCCCAAACTCGTTCTGATGCGGTGCAGAGCATTTCTGTTGACCCTTACACCTGGGTGCATTTTAAAAACCAATCCGACTAACAGTCATGCTGTTGGAGGAAACTGGAGTACCCAGAGAAAATTCATGCATGTGCAGGGAGAACATACAAACTCTATGAAGAAAGACCGTTGACAGGGTTCAAACCCACAACATCTTGCTTCAAGGCAACAGTGCTACAAAGTGGCACAATGCCGCCCACACTAAACACAGATTTTTTTAATCTTATGTTATACTTTGATTTGATTTAGATCTAGACTTTGACTATCCCATTCTGAAAAAAAAAAAAAAAGTTAATTGAAATGAACCATTCTATTGTAGTGGCAGTTTAGAGCATTGTCCTGTTTGAAGGGGAACATCTTACTAGGTCTTAACTATTTTGTAGCCTCCTACTGGTTTTATCTTTTCAGGTTTGTTCTCAATTTATTTCAATCCACCTTCCTATCAGCTTTAACCAACTTTTTTCCCTGCTGAAAAAAACATCATGACAGCATGATGCTGCCCTCACATTGTGTCACAATGGGAATTGTGTGTTAATTTTCATGGGCATTAAAGGTTCCTCTTCATGCATAGAGTTTTGCAGATATAAAAAAAAGTTACATTTGGTTTTCATCTGACCAGAGCACTTTGTTTCTACATGTTTGTTGTGTCCGGCACATAAATTGTGGCAAACTTCGGCTTTCCTTAATGGAGCATAGTCACATTATATGACATTTTAAAAACATTTTACTGGGGAAATCGGATTTTAATTATTTTAATTGGCATGCATTCCAATGACAAGGTTTTAGCTTATAACCTATTTATTTATTTGAGATATTTTTTACCTTGCTCTGTCTTTTCCGTTGCTGTTATAGTAGAAGGCTTAGGGAAGAATTCAGTTGTACATAAAGTTGCTGTACATCAGGTAATTTAATGAATCTCTGTGCTTCTCTGACCATGCCAAGCTATTCTTTTACAGTAAGACATTGCAGGAGGGTTGGGCTCTATTACGCTGGGCTCACACTGGCAGCTGCGGTGTAGCTGTGGTGCGGGTGGCGCAAGGAACCCAAATAATTCAAATTGATGCAGTCTGGGTGCGGTTACCAAAGCCGTGCAGATCAACAAAGTCTTTCTGCAAAAACGTAGCTTGGCCAGACATCCTAGGGGTCTCTTCATCAAGCTCCTGCATTGCATTTGAGTAGCCAAAACAAAAAAGGCAAAACAAAAAAAAAGTTTTGCCCGAAAACTCCAAGAAACAGGGTACACCCATGAGTACCAGTTTCTGCAGCTGGAGCTGCAGCTGGGACAGCCTAGTTATAATGTTCAGTGTCAGTGACTTTCTGAGGCATACCAGCACCACAGCTGTACTGCATTCAGTGTAAAAGCACGCTTTTAAGTAGTTGCGTCAATCACCACCTGCCTTTTTTATAGTTCACTGTGCTTCCCGGAAGATGGCGCACATATCTATATTTATTTCTAATCATCATGGCCAATGCTGGAACTCTATTTAAGCTAAAAAAGGACGCTCAAAACACTATCAGGATGGACTCTTGGCGTATATAATCATATTTTATCATGATCAAAAGTTTTTGGGTTTTTTATTGGCATATAATGTGACTATACCTCTTTGAACTACAGCTTACTGACTTCTAAAGGGGTCCGTTAGTGAAGTGTATGAAGGTTAGCCGTCATGTTTTAATACTTCTATCTGACCTGTGGATAAAACAGCTACTTCTGTTACGATTGGTTCATTAACCACATCCCTGATCTTTACGCTTCTTGCTCTGCACGAAAGTATCTGTTTACTAATATTTGACACAAACACAAGCAATAGGGTTTATTAATGAAGTTTATTCTATTGGGTTCATAGGAACAGAATAAGTAATCAGATCTGGAAAATAACTGATTGCAGTTAGAAAAAATACAAAAAGAATCAAGGGGTTTGAATACTTTTGCAAGTTACAGTAGATTTAAATCGAAATGTTTACATATTATTTTGTATGAAAGTGTATTTCCTGTGTTACCGAATGCATCAGATTGTTCTTTCTGATAATATTTGACATCTTTTATAACTGTGACGGAACACAAAATTGTTCTTTTCTTTGGTATTTTTATTTGTAATTATTTTCAAATTTACTTAAAGGTCCTGACCTGTCATGGCATTTTATGAGTTGTGTTTGTGTTTTTTTTTTAAATCAATGCATACAGTCAGGTTTCAGTGTAATACCTGCTGTGTAAAAATGTTGAGTAGCACCTGATGTACATAGCTGCATCTGCATTTATCTATTCAGCCATAATACAGTATTATAGATATGTAAATGCTTCATATAAGTTCCTGTGCCTGCTGGGTCTGCATAAAGCGCCAGATTGATGTCATCACAGTCTCGCCTTCCCACTAACAAGTGTAATGTCCTTTAATTTCATATTGAACAGTAACATTTTCTGTGTCGAGACCTATGTGTAGCTTTATGTAACTGTCTTTATCTCTTTCTACTCTGCATTAAACCATAGTTGAGTTTAATTGACATTTCCATACCTATCCATCTCATACAGTTCAATTTGATTGAGAAGCAGTATTTGTTACCTTTATCAGACCAAGCTGGATTTTGCAGACAGGCTTTATGACAGCCAGATAATGTATGATAAAGGCATATTTACATAAGAGAATGTATTCTTTTCTGGACGAGGTAAATATGGCATTTCTGTTTTTTCATTCTGAGCAACACGACTCTGAAAAGATAGAAATGTTTTAAGTGATGTAGAAAGGACCATTTTTTCACCAAATGTAAATAGAACCTTTCAAAGGAACCACATTTGATAAAAAAAAAAATATAAGAAAAAAGCAGTTTTCTAGCACACCCAACTTTATTCTGAAATGTTCTGAGTTGATAATTTTCTTCTCTTGTACTGTTGTTATGAATTCAAACAGTGTGTTTTTGACAAACGACTGCAGTAAGTCTTGGGTGTAGCGAAATAGTTCATAGCTGAAGAACAAAAAAGATAAAACAAAAAAAAAATGCCCATTGTTCTGTAGATGTTTGCAAACATGTCATTTTTTAATATCAAGAAATGTGTACATTTCGTGTCATTTAGTGAAAGTAGATACATCACACTGAGAGCTAAGTTCCGAGTCATGCACCTGATCCTTCACCAATGTGTTGCAGTGCAGTGAATATCTGTGATGCAGTTATGTCAGGCAGGAATGCAGTAAGCCAACCAGTGCCCTCCCTATTGAAATTGAATCTTTCCACTGGCCAAACATATCATGACAGCCTCTTAGGGAGTATAGGGGATATGTAAAAATGCCAGAGGCACCAAAAGGAGGTGATTAAACTCTCCTTGGTTTAGGTCAAACAGACACACTCAGGACAAATAAAACTCTATTTTCATACAGGAGCAGCAACCTACACAAAACTTGCCAATATCCTAACACAACAATGTGCTGCTGAACCTCTGTGTTTGTCAATGTTTGGGGCAAATGTTATCTTTGAATGTGGGATGAGTGTACACACACAGATACTCACTTGACTGCCACTCACTCTTTGCTTTTCATGTTTCTAGAGATATCCAAATGTGATGCTGTCCTATGCTTTATCACTAGTCTTACTGATTTATTTTTTTCTTTTTATTGCAAAACAGTTTAATCGTTGAAAAAAAAAGAGCCGGTTGGTTTAAATTAGGCTTCTCTAAATTTAAAAGCTGACAGATTAAAATAATGGCTGAGTGGAGATGAGAGGGAAAAAAAAGGTGAGATGTGGAAGGGGATGTTGTGTGTGCCTCTTGTTGGTGTGTTGGTTTGAGCAGTGATGATGCCTACATGTACCTGGGGTGATCGACAGTGGTTGAGAGGACAGGCACCGTGAGTGGGTCTGATGTAACTGTAACTGCTTACTTAATCTACCACTGTAACTGGATATATGGCTGACAAATAAAAAAACCTTGAACAATCTGTAATACAAATGATCTATTTTTTTGTCCATATAATGTAAATTAGGTTTGTTTATAGCATATTTTAGTGGCAAGGCAATTCAAAGCCCTGCACATGAGAACATACATACATAAGGCTTGTTGAACCGCTTCCGATGAACCGTCTCCCACAGCCAGCTGGTACCTCTCCACCACATTTACTTTACACAATTTAATTAATTTTGAAATTGGTTCAAACTCCTTTGAGCAAGTCTGCTCCTGTGCATATAAAAATTTGATTGATGATCTCAAAGATTTATGTAACCCCAAAAATCGTATTTATAGTTCATCAATAAGGGAGGAAATGCATTTTTTACTGCACAGAAGATCTATCATTTTGTAGAATATATAAAAGATAAGTGAAAAAATTCCAATTTCATTGGAATGGTGACAGAGCATAAAACTACACAAGAATCTATTCAGTAAAACATATAGATCTATTTTTAGAGGTTTCCTTTTTTATATTTCAAAAGTCAAATATAATTCTTTACTCATAAACTTTTTTCTTTTCGTTACCATATTGAAGCCAACACCTTAAGGCAGCACCTCAGCTATCTTTGCAATATATAAAATAAAATGATTGCACTCCCGACTGTTGAATATTTTATTATTTGTAATATATAGCAGTAGGTGCAGCAACAACAGCATAAACTTGTATGTTCAACACAATACAATTCTTTATTGATATAAGTAAATTTTTGACAAGCCTGTGGTGGGAGTGGTTCAGCGGGAACTAGTGTTAAACTGGTAAAAGTAGTCCTTGGTGGGTTTGCTGGTGTAGAGCTCCTTTTCCAGATAATCCTGACTAGAATAGAGACAGATATTTATGCGGAATGAGTAAAAAAAGTAAAGAAATCCCATATTAGAAATTTCACAGAATTAATTCATTTACAGGGAAATAAACTGATACTGTGTATGTTTGTGGGGCTTACTTTGCCTGCTGCTCCCTGGCCAGCAGCTTATTGTATTGGTCCAGTTGCATTCTCTTCTCCCTCCTTAATTCTGCAATTTTCTGCTCCTTTTCCTCTGCTTCTTTGGCTAGTTTCAGGAGATGCAGGTCCCAGGTTTTATTTTTAATCTGCTCAGCCCCAAGTTTTCTCTGAAAACACAAAAAGGACAAATGTGGCATTCGTTGTACGTTATGCATTTGAACAGTTGGTGTAATGCAGGGATTTTAAGCCTGATTAAAAAAATATATTTGCATGTTCTCTCATTTGATTTATGTATTTTTTCAAGAGTTCCTGCTTCCACCACACTCCAAAGAAGAAGCCTGTTTTAATAACTGGATGCTCTAAAGTGCTCTCAGGTATAAGTGTGTGTCCATAGTTGTCTTTCATGTGTGTATCTGTCTTATCCTGTCATTTGTTATGAGTCATCTGTAAAAGCATATTTCTTTTAGTTCTCTGTGGAAATGTATGAATAGACATCAGCATGTAATATGCAGGGGAATGTCAGGTCTTAAGTCTTAATATTAATATTCTTACAGCATGACAGACAAACCCAGTGAGCTAGTATGTGCATATGGTGTCTGTGTTAATGATAGCTCAGTTGTACCAAACACATACATAAAAAGGGATGCAATTCCAAGCACTTCCTTTTTTAACTTGGTTTTCGAGTAAAACTTTTCAATTTAAACATAAGTTTTCAGTTCTGGCGATTTATCAAGTTTCTTACCTCCAGACATGCTGTGTGATGCCTTTACAAAGATTCAAGCATTTATGGAAGTGAAAACATAAAACCGGGACTCCAGCAGTACCTGTCTCTCAAGGCACTGTTGCTCTCTCTCTCTGTGGAAAAGGCTGAGGTGCTCTGGGCTCATCCCCTTCCACCTGTCTGGCAAAATCTGTGGTGGCCTCCCTCCTCCCACAAATCTCTCTGCTTGCTCTGGACACTCAGTCATCATGTCAGATGTTGCGGTGTGCCACATTTCTTCCAGGTTCTCTCTCTCCTCTCTCCTGTGCTGCTCCTTGAAGAACTCAGCTCGCTCTGCAGCCTGTGTGTGGAGCAACATATGGTGAGGTCTCAGCCCTGACTCAGAGGACTCTCATTTATAATAACCCCTTCTCTCCAAAAACAAACATGACAACCCCAACCTTTTAAAATGTACTTAATATAAGCATATAAGTGTTATTTTTAACTGTGTTTAATTATTTACCAAAATATTCACACACATATTAACCTGATTGCCAGAGCCACATGCAGCTCTTAACAGCTTCAGTGATATCATTTGTCACTCCAGAAAACACATATCCTCTGTGCTTTACATCCTTGTATCTAAAACATTGTATTGCACTTGGAGATGTAAGGCTTGCATGATGCTGCTCAGCAATAGCAAACCCTTTCAAGAAGCTTTCTTCCCACTCTTCTTAAATTAATCTAAAGGACAAAGATTATGTTATCTATATAGGTCTGTAGCTACTGATTCAACAGAGAAAAGATGTCATATTTGTTCATCAGTATGGTTTTATAGCATATAGCATAGAATCGTCAGAATTTACCAGAATTTTCAATCTGGATGAAACTTAAAAATATGTTTCTCTTTGTAGGTTCAATTATTAAATCAGTTGTTTTGATGATATTCCAATTTATTGACACACACCAGTATGATGCATTTCCTCCTGAGTGGTCTACTCAAGAGGTTCAATTTGCTTTTGCATGATCCACTTGAATGGTTATTAGGAAAACTACATAATTGTGATGAAAAATGCCATGACCTGAATTATTTACAAGAAATTCACTCAATGGGGAATGGGGACAAGAGTCCTCAGCCTAATGGGGGAAGAACTAAGAGGGGGCTTTCAAAGAACAACCAATTCCATGCATACATCATATTAGATTATCCCTCCATGTTGGTTGCTACCATACAATGTGACTGCCTCCCCCCTTTGTAAAGTGTGTGTGTATGCATCACTTAACATTCTTAGTTTGTAATTCTAATTTGAAAGTCCCAGCTGGGAACACTGTCACAGCTTAAAATTCCCACTGGCTTTGGCTTCATTCACTTTGAAGGAAGTGGGAGCATTAATGCTTTACACATACCAGGGCTTGATTGTAGTTGTCAAGCGCTATGCGGGCAGCTTTCTTACGATCCTCCTCCAGTGCAGCCTGCTGAAGCCCCCTTAAGTCTTGATGCACCAGGTCCTTGTTTACTAGTATCTCTGTGCAACATAGAAATGTGTGTATGTGTACAGCTGCATTAGTTAATACCCAGTGAACAACATTCTCCAGCCAGACACAGAGACTGCAACATTTGGGGAGAAGAATTCATTTCACCTGGCAGAGAAGAATGTGTGTGGGAGGATATGATTGGGAAAACCATGAAGCATATGTTTCATTTACAGCAGCTGCGTTGAAGTGTTTGTATGCCTCTTCTCACCTTTGTGCTTTGCTCTCATCTCCCTTCGTTTATTTTCATCCATCTGGGCTTGCAAATCTCTTTCTGTTTTTCTTCTTTGCTCCCTCTGGTCCTCTCCGACACCTTCTCCCTGTAAATTACAAGAAAAAGAACAAAAGTCCTCACCTAAAATTCAACTTTTTCTGGATTTACCACTTTTGTTCCTTTATGGACACAGTTCCAGTCTTACCTTAAACGTTTGCATGCTGGCAGGTCCCAGCTCTGATTCTGGAATTGTAATGTTGAACGCCCCCTTCAGGTCGTCATCGCGACAGTGCTCTGCTTGCTGCTGTGATGCCCAGTGCTGGGTCAGGTCCCTGTGCATAGCTTTTCGCTTCTCTTTCTCATTGCTGTCCTGCTGAATAAGTTCTTCATCTTGCCTCCTTCTCATTGCATCTATTTAAGTTAAAATTCATTATGATCGACATTTATTATTAACAAAATACTATTTATCATTGTAAAATATGAGAAATAACTCCTAAATTACCAAAAGCCTTGTCTCGTTGCTTCTCCAAGTTTTGTCTGTGTTTCTTTTCCTGGACTTGCTGGTTCAGGGCCTCCAGGTCGAGGCCCATCACACGCAGACGAGTGTTGTATATCCGGGCTTTGCGTGCTCTTTCTGCAGACCTTCGGGCCTCCAAAGTCTTCTCTTCTTGCTGATCCAAAGTCAAATCTGCTTTAAACATATTTACAGTTTCTAGCCAGGTTCTGTGGAGACAAAAACATTTTTAAGGCAATAATTGAGCTCACATATGATTATGTCAGGAAATAACATAATGGAAGTCCCTGGAAATATTTTACAAAGGTATATTTCAGTTCTCAAGAATAAGAAAATGGCATTGAGAACACTATTTTCGGAGCATCCTGGTTTAATTAACTTCACAAACTCTAAAAACATGCAAATAAGAAACTGGTAAGCTGATATGACCGTCTGTGATACATACTATAATGCTACTTTGAGAAAATATTGTTGTATAATGGTTCTTATGTAAAAACAAAATATATACAAAAATATTTTAGCCCCATTTATTTCATACCATGACATTTTTAAAATAGCTTCAACAAGTTAAAGATGTGATATTTTTGATAAAAAGACAGTATAACTAGATTAATCTACTTGGGCTCATTATCTGAATGTTGACTTTACGCAGCTGTAGAACATTCCATTAAAAATCTCTGAATGTCATTTAACTTTGTTTAAAAAAATAAGTGCTATGCTTCTTGCAGTAAAGCAAGAATTTGTTTATTTGTTTATTTTATGTTGTGGTAGATTACAGTGAACATTATGGCAGTGAACCTCACCTGTTTTATTTTTTATAGTTTCAATGCACATTTTTACAAAACTTTACAAAAGGTTACTTTACAAAAAACTCTAAGTTTTGTGATAAAAAAAAAAGTTAAATATTAATTTTACATGTTTTCCAATTAGTCATGCTTTGACGTTATCATCTCGACCGCTTCCTAAGTTCAATTAATTTTTGGTATTATCTACTTTAGGCATGGATTTCATATAAGTGATATTAAACTAATAGAATCGGGGCTGAGGCTATCAATCATTTAAGTCATCATTAAACTAGCAATTTATTTTTATATATACCAATCCAAAAAGAGATACTCTAAGTATGTTCACATAAAAAGTCAAAATTGATTAGCTTTTTAGATTTTGTATTTTCTTTTACGTAACTATTTTTCAAGGCTGCACTTTTAAAAAAGGTGAAATTGTCCAGAGAGCTGTTCCAAACGAAATTTCTTTTTGTTTAACACTTTGTAAACAAAATGACAAATAAATCTGTCTAAGTCTAAGTCTAGATGTATTTATAAATGGCTAAAACATGCACACAAAAAACCCCACACAAAAATAAAACTAAACAAAACATGAAAAAACACAAAAACCAACAATAATTCAATTTCAAAAATGCAACTTGAAGAATTCTGAGTAGAGTTTTACCAGCAAAGACTTTTTTTGATCTTAAATATGTTTGCTACAGATTTGGCTGAGCGGGTTGTTCTTACAGCAAACTGTGGCTATTTGCTAGTGAATGATTAATCAATTACTAAAATTAGTTCATGATTACTAAAATACATTGTTTTGTAAAATTGTTTCAGATTAGGTCATATGAGATGTTTTTTTTTTTTTTTTTTTATACAATGTTTTAGACTTTAGGTATTCCATTTTAACCTGAAACAGACAATCCAAGCACATTCACATCAGTATAAAGAACTAAAGCAGATATTATTAACTTTATCACTTGAACTATAAAAAGGGCTCAGAGTTAAGTTACCATTTAAATTCAAAATTTAGGGACAGTAGGCAGTTAGAATGAAAGATACTCAATAAATTCAGAACACTTAGTGAACTAAAGAGCGGATTAAGAAGAAATTCCTTTCCTCCAGTTATTTGGATTCTCTGTCTATAAACGCGCTGTTACAAAATGCTTTAAATAACATTAAAAAAATAAGACAGCTACAACTAATTAACACGTGCCAAACTCTTACCTGTTGGAAATATAATTCAGGTAATATCTATTTAAAAAAATTTTACTTTTCGTGAAACGTTCTCTTTGCTGCTATCACCATGTTATGTTTGGTTGCCCTAGCAACCTCTTTAATAGTTACATGGGGGGGGGGGGGGGGGTAATAAAGCCACTCGCTGAAAATAGTGTCCACAGTAAAAAAAAAGATAAAGAGTCTTTAGACTTTATCATAAACATTTTCAAGCAAACGTACAAACATTTGTACATTTCAAATGTAACTGGCGACGGTTAAGACATGTCCAATTTTGTCTCGCGAGAAAATGCGTGATTTTGGCTCTCGCGCGCTCAAGGTTTTCCTGTTACATTGTAAAATGGCGCTCCGTTGATACAAGCTTTCTGATTTTATTTTGAAGATTCGTTTACGCTCTTTTTCTCAAGTAACTTTGCGCTGAACTCATAATGTAACCCACGTGCAAGTCAGCTACAGATTGAGTGGGAGCGTTATTTCATTTACGAGCGTAATTCGTCTTTGTATACCAGGGTTGCTCGCTGCACACTGGCTGCTAGCATTTTAGCTAACTGTTTAACATTGTCCGTGCAGATTTTCCTTCAAACAGTTGCACATAAACAACGGAGATGGGCTATTTAAAGCTAATAGAGATAGAAAACTTCAAGTCATACAAGGGAAGACAAATCATCGGACCGTTTCACAAGTTTACGGCAATCATCGGACCCAATGGATCGGGTATGTTATGATTAAGAGGGCTAAGGCAAAATGCATACTTTGCTAGGATGGGCTAACGGTAAACAGTCGTTTTGCAGATTTTACTTTAGGCAGCTATGCACCTGGAATGTCAAATTTGTAATATATTGTAAGCGCTTCATGTTTCAGCGAATGCATTGTTATTGCATCGCTATATATTGAGCCACTGTTCTCGTGATTATTAATTACAAAATCAATGCATTGTGCTTTATCAGAGATAAACATTTTCATCTTTAGTTTCAGACTACACTTTTCTATATAGACATTTAAGTGTTGGATACCTCCGATTGTGACTTTTTAAGTTTGATTGGGTATATAATACAATTATTTTTTGTTAAATAATATCAAATGCTTGTCACACATTCAGTAATGTACGAAATGGACCGTTTTAACAATAGCAAGTCTAATGGCCTTTCAGCAAGGCCTTTTTTTGTCTTAAGAAACCACTGCTCAGTAATTCTAGATAGAAACCTTTTAAAAAAACATGCATTTTTCTAAGTTTCAAACACAAATTCACGCACAAGAGTGTCATTTGAAGGGGGCAGCAGCTATTCAAGATTTTAACTTTTTATGTCCTAATATAAGATAAATAAAACGTATAATTAAAAGTTAATCCATGTATGATGTGGATACCTAACGGCTAATCTCATCTCCATTATTTTAGGCAAGTCCAACCTTATGGATGCCATCAGCTTTGTGTTGGCAGAAAAGACCAGTAACCTGCGTGTTAAGACTCTGAAGGATCTAATCCATGGAGCTCCAGTGGGGAAGCCAGCTGCCAACAGAGCTTTTGTCAGCATGGTGTACCAAGAAGATAATGGAGAGGAACGGTCCTTTACTAGGGTTATTATTGGTAGGAATTACTTGTCTGTTCCTGATATTATAGGATATACTCTTTCTGCACGTACCTGTAAGATATGTACAAACAATAACGTTAGCTTTGTTATGAAATTACACTTAATTTGTCCCAGGGGCCTCATCTGAGTATCGCATCAACAATAAAGTGGTTGGACTTCCTGAATATAGTGAGGAGCTGGAAAAACTTGGAATTCTGATCAAGGCCAGGAACTTTCTTGTCTTTCAGGTAAGTGTTTAGTCAATCGCTTCATTCACAGTATTTTACATGAAAGGAATTAGTAGGCCTATAAAGCTAACACACCCCGTCTTTCATCATTGTTTGGTTATAAGTGGTTTAGGGTTAGGGGTTCCATCTTTGGCAAACATGGTTGACCCCCGCAATATTTATATGATGCAGAAACAATTATTGCTTCTGTTTTTTTGGCAGCTGCCTCTGTTTACCTGAGTCTTCATTATTTATTTATTACACCGTAGGGGGCTGTGGAGTCGATTGCTATGAAGAACCCCAAAGAGCGAACAGCACTGTTTGAGGAGATCTCACGTTCTGGAGAGCTGGCACAAGAGTATGACCGCCGAAAGAAGGAGATGGTGAAAGCAGAGGAAGACACACAGTTCAATTATCATCGCAAGAAAAACATTGCAGCAGAGCGCAAAGAGGCCAAGCAAGAGAAAGAGGAGGTAGGAACTTTGAAAAGAATCAAATAAAAAAATCAACTCACTTTTTTAAATTTCATTTTGAACATTTTCAAGTTTCAAGATTCAAATATGTATTTCAATACACAACCCCATTTCCTCTAATATAACCGCATCTTAATAAAGTTGCCACCACCCATCCTTTGCTGATGTCGTGCCAAGGTAGTTATCCCCGCCAGAATTTGTATCCCCTTGCTGGGAGCAAGCATACGATTGAACCCCAGTTGACACAAGCCGCCTCAATGCCACTATGCTGGAGAACTTTAAGCTCAGCAGTTCCAAACAACAGATGATTTTATTTCTTTTTTGAGAACAAACTTCTCATTCATCTTTAGTTGTAATGTTGTTTGCTGTTTTGTGTGATGCTGTCGCTTGCCAAACTGCAACCTAAGAGCTACTGCAGCTACAGAAACTCCGGGGAGCCAAAAATGCACCGTTGTTTTAAAGAAAAATCTATTTATCTTTTTTTTTTAAATGCCCACCACAAAAAATTCAAATGAGTCGAATCCATTTTTTTGGTCCAGGCTTAGTCTTATTGATGCACCTCATTGTTTCTAAAAACATCCCTTTATTTTTGTGTCGAATTTAAATTTGCCTTAAAGTTCAACTTAGTTACGTTTTTGAATGAAAAGTGATTACAATTCTAATCGGATTATTCTCTCCCTTGTGTTTGTCCCTGTCAGGCTGAGCGATACCAACGCCTCAAAGATGAGGTAGCCAGGGCAAGTGTACAGTTACAGCTCTTCAAGTTGTACCACAATGAGGTGGAGATTGAGAAGCTAAATAAAGAGCTGGGTCAGCGAAACAAAGAAATTGACAAGGACCGTAAAAAGATGGACCACGTGGAGGAGGAGCTGAAGGATAAGAAGAAGGAGTTGGGAAGGTTGATGAGGGAGCAGCAGACCATTGAGAAAGAAATAAAGTATGTCCTCACATGATTCAGATAACCTCTAGGTGTCCATACTCACATCCTGTCCCCTGAAATTCACTGATTGTTTTCATCCTGTTTGCAGAGAGAAGGACTCTGAGTTGAACCAAAAGAGGCCTCAGTACATCAAGGCCAAAGAGAACACATCGCACAAAATCAAGAAGCTTGAGGCTGCGAAAAAATCGCTCCAGAACGCCCAGAAGATGTACAAGAAGCGAAAAGCAGACATGGATGAGCTGGATAAGGAGATGAGGGCTGTGGAGTTGGCCAAGCAGGAGTTTGAGGAAAGAATGGAGGAGGAGGCACAGAGCCAGGGCCAGGACCTCACTCTGGAGGAAAATCAGGTCTGATGTGATGCATTCAAAGCTTCCATTGTCTATTAGTTAAATCGAGGTTCAATCAAACCAATAGAAGCCTTCAGGAAAAGAAAGGTTTAACATTTTGAAATCGATTAAATAATTGTAATTAAAAAAAAATCTCTGTCCTCCCTACCTTTTTAATTTCCATTATCATTTAATTCTCATCTTAAGTAATATTTTTGCTTTAGGTCATATTTTTGTTTAATGAGCTCCTAATTTAATTTCAATCAAAAAAATTAGTTTGACTTCTTTCCTCTCCTTGCCCTCAGGTTAAGCAGTACCATCGTCTCAAGGAGGAGGCCAGTAAGCGTGCCGCCACTCTGGCTCAGGAACTGGAGAAGTTCAACCGGGACCAGAAGGCTGACCAGGACCGCCTTGACCTGGAGGAGAGGAAGAAGGTGGAGACAGAGGTAAGGGAACAAAAGACTGTTTTTTTTGTTTTTCTTTCAGCACGGATTTAGAGATTTGAATTTGAGCTGATGCACTTTTGCAAATCTCTTCTTCTCTTCAGGCCAAAATCAAGCAGAAGATTCGTGAAATTGAAGAAAACCAGAAACGTATTGAGAAGCTAGAGGATTACATTACCACTAGCAGGTAATGGTTCTCTATGACCAGATTTATGCTGTTTATTGATCTGATATTATGCTATAGATTACTCCTTCACTCACACATTTACATTATTGAACAACAGACAGTCACTTGATGAGCAGAAGCGCATGGAGGAGGAGTTGACGGAGGAAGTGGAGATGGCAAAGAGGAGGATTGATGAGATCAACATGGAACTTAATCAGGTAACGAAAACGGAAAGAAACATTTTGGTCTTATATATGAATTGTATCAACGCTTTAAAAATTATGTCTGATATTTCTCTTTAGCTTGACTCCAGGTTTTCTCTTCAGCTCATTTGTTTCCTAAAATTGTCCATGACAAATAAAACATCTTTTTACCTGATATCATTGTGCGTGTCAGGTAAAAGAAAACATTGAAACTGTGAGGATAATTCTCACCTAATTTACAAAATACTTATTTGATATTTGTAGAAAATAAAAGGCTTTAGAACATTACCAACATTGTTTTTATTAAGCTACTGTAACATGTAATTAAGCTACTGTAATTATTAAAATGTATTTTTATTTTTACAATAAAAAACATGCTAACAGAGAAGTTGTAAGGCTTTTGAAAATGTCAACTGGTTTAAAACTGGAAAGTTTAGTAAAGCCATACAGAAGTGCTTTAAATCAAAAGTAAGAAGGAACATATATATATATATATATATATATATATATATTTTTATTTTTATTTTTATTTTTTCTGTTTTTTTTTTCTGTTTTTATTTGTAACTACATTCCATCACAGCTTTTTGTATATGTGAGTAACCACCATAACAACCAGTATGATCTGATTCAGTTGCCAAGATTGTAGACTGTGCATGGTAATATGTGAGAAGGAAACCATGACAGGATTGACCTCTGCCTTTGTGACTGGTATGTTCTTCAGGTGATGGAGCAGCTGGGAGACGCCAGGATCGACAGACAGGAAAACAGTCGACAGCA